ATTACATGTTACTGCAAGGGGAATCGAATGATTAAACGGACGGGAAGAATTTTTTAATCAACCCTATCTATAATTAAGTTTACCTGTAACACCTTAGGTACATTCGTAAAATTCACCTTACGTATGAAATTGTGTCGCAAATTACTATAAATCTCAAAAGACATTACCAAGAATTGCATTTATCAGGTAGTGCGTACATTAAAGAAGCTAATTAGAAAGAATAAAATGCTCCGAACGGAGTATAGGGGGAATAATGATCTAGGACGTACGAATGTTTAGAGTAAATGCTGTACCGTTCGCATTAAGATAGGAAGTAAACGAAGTAAAACAAAGTGGGAGTGAGCGGACCAGAAAAACGACAAACTTTTCTTATTTCACGAACGATCGAGGAACAGTCGTCGTGAATGCACGACGTTCCCCTGGAGCAGTTCCTCGTTCGCTTTGGCTCGCTCGCCAGAAAGGGACGTCGAAATCGCACGTCCATTTGGAAAAAGTTATTCCCACCTACGAGTAAAATCCATGGTACGTGACTTTCTGCATGAACGGCGACAGACGAACCATTCTCAAACAATTTAACAATGTTTTTACTGGTTCCCGATCGCGTGTTTTCTCTTATCTTTCGCTACCGCATTGACTTGTCAGCTGCGGGATCGAGGAAATGTGTAATTAACAAAAACAGAATACATGTTACATGAAACGATATTCGAAACTTCAGACGTGGGAAGTGAAAAAAAAGTGCTAAGTAAAGTAGACTTTGATACAGTACGTCTTTGGAATATATGATTACTTTTAGTTTATAATATTATGTACATATATCGTAGCGAGCATCCAACATGGCCGTCACTGACCACCATTTTGTCGAATATTCCGGACCGATATAGTTATATTTTACATCGAAGGTTGTATACGAATTGAATATTAAAAGAAACGCAAAGTGCATTCGTGTTATTTCTTTTGACTGGAGAAACATGCATGACAAACTTGTATTAGTAACGATAGAAAGTTATATTAAAGACTTACCCCTTACTGTAAAGGGTGTTTCACTTATATTCGATGCAACATACACATACACACGTTTGAACAAAAAAACCGAAATAAAAGTAACATATGCTAAAATAAAAACAGCACTGGTAAGCAATAAAAGTGAAGAATAATAAAGAAATATTCGAATGTGTACCCGAAAACTGTAATTATTTAAACAGTCCGTCGATGTGCATCGCTTGAGTGTTCGTGTGTCACTGAGCCTCACGAAGACTAAAAGTTACTGGTAACTTATGAAGAAGAGGAGGGATGGAAATCTTCTGAACCTTTAAAGTTTTCGTGGTCTATCAGGGGAGGGGGTCAACGTCCCTTTGTTTCCACCAGATTTTTCGAAATAAGATAACATAGCCTGACAATAAATCACGATCTTTCTTCCCAGAACTCGTGGGTTTCTAACTCTCAAACTTTGTTTTCATTAATTGTATGTACAAATCGATTCTTTACAAGTATTTATTTAAAAATTAGAATAAAAGTAGATAAAAAAGTACTTCGAATTTGCCATCGATTAACTCCTGCCACGTTGGATCACTTTTGACTACTTGTTCAACAAATAATATTTCTTGAAAATTTAGCACAATAATTGTATAATGGAAATATTAAACAAAATGCCACTGATTTCGAAAATGGACACGTAACATTGCAAAAGCATGTCACTACGGCTATCGAATCGACAGGAAGAAGCCTTAGGCGAAGAACCGAATCACCGATGTCGGGTAAATATGGAAAATTTTCGAGATGTTACATCTGCATGAGAAATGACAGTAAATATTCAACAAAATGTACAAAATACATAGAAAATGTATTTAATCGGCATGCGTTAAAACAAAATACTGAATATTAAGTAAATACGAATATTCATATTTTTTAGAATTGTAACTATTTGGGAATTTTTTTTCCAGTGAACTAAATGTTCGACATAAATGAAGTGTTGTCTATTTAGTAATACTCATATTGAGAGAATGAGAAAATTTGTTTTTGAGACTTTTTATACTCTTTTGAATTTTTTTACACTCTCAATCAGTGTATTAATAAATAGACAATACTTCATTTATGTTGAACATTTTGTTTACTCAAAAAAAATTCCCAAAAAATGAGAATTTTTCAGAGCCTCTGGGTGGCAAGAACCCTTAAAGGTGAGGTTGACGCTCTCAGATACAGCTTCTTTTCACTATGTATTACACGAACAAAATTATCCCACGTGACATCGGTGTATAAATAGTCATTCTGCATAAATCTGATTAGATTCACGATAAACTCACAGAACAACGGGACAGAATCTCGCGGCGCTCATTTCGCTCGAAAACGTCCGACACACACGTCGAACACCGATCCGGTCGTTTCCGTCGGAATTATTTCTTTCTCCATTTTGCCAGGAGTATCGCGATAACGAGACCCGCGTGTATTATGAGGGCAACACCCCGTCCCCTCTCCAGCCCCTGATAAAACGTCACGCCGAAGGCTCTTTCGTTTCGCATGCCAATAAATTGGCGGCAACTGGCACGGCCGTCAAAGTTTCTCGAACTCGGTTTCAATGATTCCCGGGCTCAAAGATTCCCGGCAAGCGACGAAGCAGTTCTCCCCACTCCCCTTCGTCGTCTTTTCCCGAAGTTTACTTTCAATTAATGAAAAACGAGTATTCGTTGACCCGCGGCCCCCCGATGGCGAAACCGTCGAAACGGCAGCGGTGGAACCCAGTTAAATTCTTGCCCGGTTCTTTTCTCTCCGCCTTTACCGCTCGCCGACTTCGCCGTTCCATTTTTATTCCCTCTTGGTCCCGCTTTTCTCTCTTTCATTTGTTAAATCGATCGAGGTCCACGTCGAACACGTAGTATATAAGAAGCCGAGGAGTTCGCGACCGAACGATGAATTGATTCTCATACCGTGGATGGTACCGTACGTAGGTAGGTAGATACAGTCTGCACACGCCTCAAGAAACTCATCGAAATGACGGAGCTGGGGTTGCCTCGAATTTCGAACGATCTGATCGTTGGGACAGTTAAGCAAACACGAATGGTACTGACGAGGAATTTTAAATGAACTGAGGGAAATGTGGGTGAGAGAACGGAAATGTAGTAGTGGTGTGTATACTGCAGTAAAAGCGTTAATTCAGTAAATGTTACTATTTACTAGTCAATGTATGCACTTACTAAGCTGGTCAGTAAATGTATTCAGAAGGAAAGAAATTTATACTTTTACTAGTAAATTCATACATTTACATTTCCGATTTATTGTAGTAAAAGCATGCGCAAACAAAAATGCATTAATTTCGATAAACACTTTGGTTAGCACTTGTTCAATTATTCATATGAATCTTATAACTAACTTATAAATTTTTTATTAATAGAGACGCGTCTTTATATTTTACATAAGTGTTAAATATTTTTCAGTTTATTGACTAGTTATTAGAGAATATTGATAGATATTAGAGATTATTATTTTAGAAGAGAATAGATAGATTGGAGAGATTATTATAGAATATTGACTCGTTCGAATTATACAGGGTATTCCATGTAACGCTTTACTGACCACAAGTCTACCAATGGATACTTCAATTTTATATAAAGTTGTACGTTTGAAGTGAAAGCTATGGTCGTCTAAGAAAAGTTATTGGATAATTAATAAACAGGCAAAGAACTACTAATCGTAAGTATTAAGTAAAGTAATTTTAATTTGGACATTTACTCTTAATAAAAATCTACTGTCGAATATGAACAGGTGGAAAAGGAGTTCTCTTGTCTGGGTGCGAATTGTTTCACACATAATTTCCCGTTGACGCGACACCTCATCGGAGAATGTTCAGACTTTCTATCGATATTCAAAAATTTAACGGCACTTACACTGGTCGGATTGTCTCTCTCATGACTATTCATAAGATATTACAATGTTCAATATTCATAAGCTACGCGATACTTTAGACGGGTCCGGGTGAATTCAGACCGGCGACTGTAAAGAAATAAAACTCTCGAGGAATCCGTCTTTCGCCGATGAAACCCTTCTTTAAATGGAACGCGTTTCACGGCTCGAGATTTAAATTAATCAGGGGGAATTGATTAAACGCCCATTAAAATTAAATGGAATATTTGTTCTCTGAACGCGCTAAAAATGATTATTAAACCTTGCACATTTTAATATTAATCTCAGTCCCTGGCTGAGGCGATGTAGAAACATGTAATATTTATTGGTAAATCGAAAAAATAAATCTGTCGTGAGCACTTATGTGTTCAAACAATACGAAACTAATCACTCTATAATTGGAATATCCGTTACTTTATTTTTCTAAGTTACTTCATCTTCCACATTTCTTTTGGTTCCAGCGTTTCTAAAAAAATTCATTACATCAAACTTCACGTTTACGATCATCTAAAATCTATAATAATTCTGTCTAAAATTCTTCTATTATCATTGTGTTCGATGCTAAGTATACATCGCCTAAAACTAAAAAATTGAAAGTTATAAATTCCAAAATTCCTGTCGAGATCGAACAGCAGTAATCTACCAAGCCCTCTGAATTCCCGTCAGCACCTCCGAACGAACGATTCCAACGGCATTAAATCGTGAGCTAAAGCGAATCGTCAACCGAGACGCAAGTATAAACCATCGGCCGGAAATCACTGTCGTCGAGAGTGTAATTCTGAAAACCATTCCGGCCGGTTAAAGGAGGGCTGGGTGCGGGGGTGTGTGGGAGAGGTTTGGTGGCCAAGTAACGACGAGTAATTCGTTCACGGATAAAGGGAATCACCAAGCCATCGACGATTTAGTGGATTCACCGGTGTATCCGCCCCCGCCCTCGAATGTGCACCGTTGACGAGGTTTTAATTATGCTAATTACTCGAACGAGCCGAGTGAGGGGGGGGATGGAGGAGGGTGGGTATATAAGGGGGGCAACCAGCCGGTGTATCGTCGTGGGAAATGCCTCGAGCACAGCCCGCCCGTTCGCGTTAAAATAGATATTTACTGACCTGGATCTCGCCATTCCTCGACCTCGTAGTCGATAGGTCGTTGTCGTAATTTCTTGTTACCGTTTCTACCTAAAATACATTACAAACAAAGACGGCTTTACATGGTTGTGTTTCACGCTGGCCGGACGTCATGGGCAAGCAGGGACATTGGGGAATGGATGGCCTTGTCCTGGGTGGCAAACAAAAAGAAAAACAAACAAAGAAAGAGAATCAGGGGTAGAAGGGACGGAGAGAATGGAGGAGAATCGAGAAAGAAGAGGAGCGAATGAATGAGCCACTGATTGTAGGGGCTGCGCCGGTTCGCTTGCAAATTAATGCCCCGGGATTCTACGTAATTCCGCGTTCGTTCGTGGGAAAATTTCGACGATATCGTTGTCGCGGATGGTTAATTTGCTTCGTGTGCGTTCGCCGTACCTACTTGGGCGAGCGGTGGATCGCGATCAAGATCAACGTCGCGGAAACAGGGGACGGGAATATAACCGGAGGGGATCGGAATAAAAAGTTAGTTACCGTTTTTCTTCATCGACGATGTTACGTGGTACGGCGGTGGAGTGGTGGACGTTGTCGAGGGAGCTGGAATCTCTGGAAATTAAACGGATGATTATTTATTAGTGGGGAAAAATTCGCTCCGTGAACTTCTTTTGTGAATTTACAACTACTTGCGAAAAACATTGGATTCAGAATGAATTATATCACTGTAATAATGCATACAAAAATTTGACTGGAAAATTTCCAATTTGATGAAATTTCATCGCATTTTTTGGAATTGTATTCGACGAGCAACGGTTAACAATTATATTAATACGAGGTCCAGACATCCAAAATGGCAACGCACACGAGTAATGAGATAAAAGGACTACATTTTTGTCATTATTTTATCAATGGGTGAGTGAACTATTTTCAAAACATAACAACGATATGGATGTAGATGTGCTATTATGTCTTTTTATAACATTTCTGGTAATTATAAAGTACATTGTTACGTATAAATCTACGGAATCTACAGGATCGTTCAATGGGAACTGAAATATTTACTTTTATCTCCGACGAATAGGATGAAATTTTATATGTATAAATATGCAGAGTGGACCGGAAACACTGGTCAGAAGGATATCACGAACACATGTAACGAAAGGAACTAACAGTAGAATTAACTAAAAAAATCACATAGTACCTTCATCGTGTCTTAACGGTTTTAATAAAAAAATTTCATCGTTCGCAACAAAACTAATTTCGCGTGTGATGCATCGTCGATTATTGCAACGGACGAAACACAGTTACAATGGTTCGATAAGTATCCGTAATTTGAAACTCCACGATAAATAACATCTGAACGCGTAACGGTGTCGACAAAAACAACTCGGAAAAACGAGAAACATCCAGAGCCGAATCCCATTCGATCTCGAAATGATCGTCGAGACGATATATCTTATTATATTCTCTTAACTTCAGCCAATTTATTCGTCCAGACAGGTGGAAAAGTAATACTCTCCTGGGATAAATATATCTCTCATAATTTAATCGCCAATTACGGAGCAACGTTGAAATGGAAGGGCCGTTTGAGCCCGTCTATCGATCGACGGCCTATCGACTGTTAAGAGTCTTTGCGTCAAAGTCCATTGGGAATCAATTACTTTGTCATTAGGGCGTAAATATAGACGCACTTTTTCCAATTATCTTCCGATGTCGCGATTCCGACCCGAACTTTTTTAATTCTCCTCGAAACCATTTTTGCGATTCAACACGACTCGGAACACTGTAATCTATTTATCATTCCTTGAATATACACCTCTGAATGGCTAACTTGCTAAAAGTATCCACGGAAGGATGCAGTTTATTATTTGAACGACGAAATAATGTAACACGTTTATCGTTACGCGTCCCATACTATTGTTACGATTTCAAATACAGTAAATCATCTATGAGTGTTCGAAGACTCCTCGGCACTGAACATTAAATATTTCATAAACTAATGGCCATATGCGGCTGAGACAAGTACCATTGGCTTCAGAATTCCAAACTCTATCACCTTGCTAAACCTCATTAAAAAGTCAGCGTTATACCTGGGGTTCTCTTCTTGTCAGTGCTGAAGAGCCTTCGAACAGTCATTGACGATTTATTGCAAACTACTGGACTTATATGATATTTGTTCGTTATTCACGAATTATTTTATTTTTTAATAAATTCAAGCTCACCGTCCAATTTGATGTCACCGTCGGTCGTACCGAGAGAGTTCTGCGCCACGCATTTGTACGAGCCGAAATCCTTCGGTCGGATGTTTCTGATCTTCAGCATCATGTACTTGTTGTAACCGTCGTCGGTATACACCGCTTCGTACTTGTCACCTGCAATGGAATGGAGATTGCCTAGGCAAATAAAACTATGTTCTTTGCAATTCATAAAAAATACAAAAGTTTTGAAAGCTAATATTTAACAAACAACAAGCACATACACATGCGAGTATTTAATATTGTCAAAAGTTATAATTTTCTTGTGATAATAAAATTGTATGTCGTGGCAAATAATAAGTAGACTGCGGACATTTATGTAAAACGAAGATTTTAGTCAAAAGTTATGTTTATTTATTAATGTCTAAAATTCTAAATTTGAATAAACATCCGTAATCTAATAATAAGAATTTGTTATACGTAATATGTTAATACGTTCATTAATAACTATAATCGAAAGTCTATCCACGCTAGTTTATCAAGTTTAAAGTTACCAGAGATGATCATGTCGCCCCTTTCGGTCGTCCAATAATTGATCGAGGTAGGGTAGGCTTCGGTGTGGCATTCTAACGTGACGTCTTGTCCAATATACGCCCCTTCCAGTTGGTTCGGTATCGAGAGCATAGGAGGGACTATAACAGAAATAAATGAAAATGTTAAAATTAATAAAAACTTCTTGTTCTGTTCAAACTGATCGTTCGTGTATTTCTTTTCTAATTGTACAAATTGTTCATATTTTATTTGAATTGGTGACAAAATTAAAAATCGGTGATAATAATCGAATTGTTTATTACATAGTATTATACTGTAAAACTTTTAAAATAGCCAAATAATATATTCTATTTCTATATTTTCAATTTTTGCAATTTCGAAATACTAATATTGTCAGAAATTTCATTAATTGTTGAACAATTATTTTTTAGACGGTCGAATAGAAGGCTCGTTGCTGTGGTTACATAAAAACAATAGACACCATTCACGCCCAAGTTAATTCGAATTATAATCATGATTAATTATCTTGAGCAAAGAAGCTACCCCATTCAGGTCAATGTTCACGAAACCGTAGCATTGTTCTGAGTTTCTTTCAGGTGCTATTATTTACCGCTGTTTGCGGCACAATTGCTTTCCTTGATCACGTAATTAATTTCTTCGCGTAAAACCCAGACAAAATGAAAAGCGAATACATTAAGGTCCCGATAGCACGAAGAAATCCATTATCGTTCGTTACTCTTCTTGTTGTGTCATCCAGAAAGTAAAGGAAGAATAATTTATTTGCTAAATAATTTATGGATTCTTCGTACTTTAGATACTTAAAGTTTACTAAAGTGGAGCTTTCAATTTGTAACGGAACAATTTTCAATCTGACAGAAATTGATGATACAAGTACACTCTGAAAGTTTTCATAAACATACAGTTATCAAATACTTGCCTCTTAATGGAAGAAATATTTTTAAAAGTACGTATATCCCATTCCTTATCCCAGAATATAACATTCATCAAAGAAACGATGATGACCTATAAACAACCACGCCTTTCACAAAGTATCCGTCGCGCTTTAAAGCAGAAAATATTAAAAAAGTATCATAATTATACGACAATGTGCACACGAATATACTAAATAAATTAAAGTTCACAGAATTCTTCCCGCCTTTATTCATTCTCTGTTATACATCCTGATTTCTATAACCAGTAGTATCTCTCCGACGTACAAGTTACTCAGCGGTATGTTTCGCACAAAATAATAAACACTCAGGCGGTGGTGCCTCTTGCGCGATTTAAACTTCTCTCACGGTCTCTAATTAAAGAACAGCCGGTGGTGGTTTTCGAATAACCTCATCGCGCCCAGAATTTTCCCCGGACTGACTTTCTTTTATTCCGTTTCCCCCCCACAGTCCCCCCTGCGCTCCTTTATGCGCGAAAAATAATGGCCCCGAAGGCGGCCAGCGTTTCATAGACACGCCCCCCCCCGCCCCACCGCGCCCCAGGTACCCTTTAATTTTCTCCATTTTTCCGAGGGACTCTATAAAGTTTCCATACACTTGAAACTTCAACGGCGGTCGACGACTTAGGGAATGCAAGACTCTCTTAGAGCGAAAACATCCCTCTCAAACTTTTCAGTTATTATACGTGTAGAGATGGTCGTACACGCGGAAGGGGGAGGGAGTGAAAGCACCCCCTCCTGCACACGATCGATATAGATATTCCGGAGCCGCAATATCATGTCATAGTCCCGTCTTTTACGAACCAACGTAAATCACGATTTACTGCCACTGTATACGTTTGAGACGATATCACGGTGGATAGCGTCCTCTCCCTCGTCCACTCGATATTCTTCCACCCTCAACCCCCGCCCCACCCGTAACCTTGACGTTTTGTGTTGAGTTATCGCTTAAATTTGCCGGCCATTAGCTGATCAATTTAATTCCTTCGATACCGGCGGAGTTTAAAGAATTTATCAGATCGTTCCGGAGGAACGTGTATTTTTTGGTACACGATCGAATTTTAGTTTAAATTCGATGAAATTATGTATTGGTACATGGAAATGGGAATGGTAACTCGTTTTACGATCGAAGACTAGGTGATTATTCGTGTGGAAATGAATGAAAAAAATGTGAATTTGTTAACTACATTTAATCTCGAAATTGTATCAATGAACGGAACGAGATGATATTGTGGATTATATTTCATTGTGCTTTAGTGAAACTGACGATAAAGCGGCAATTTATTGCTGAAGTTTTAATTCTGATTTCTGAATACGATCTCCGGTGATTCTAGTTCGTGAAGTGTTAAGTGATATTTCCATAGACACCGAATGAATGGGGTGAAAACTTGATCAGTATTTAATGAAGTTTTAATGGAAAATCACGTGTCCGGCTATGTTCATTGATATTTATTATATATAAAACTTCAGACGATATTTTTTATGTATAATTAAAAAGAGTCACTAGGCATCGTATATAAAATTGAGAAATTTATACGTAAAGTGACATAAACGAAATTATCACTTAGAAGAATTATACCTACGCCCTGCGTATCAAAGTTTACGATTCACATTTGAAAATTTTATATTCAATAGCATATTTATTGAATATACCTGACATGTATATATTCCGACGTATGGTATTTGCGATAATATTTAACTAAAATACGAAGCTGTAACGAAAGATTGACATGTAAAATTCATAAGATCTTTATGCAATTAGTAGTCTTCCAATGGGGGAGCATTCAAAAAGATCACAATTTTCAATAATTTTACAGAGAAAGGAATATACACATAACGAACTCTGCCATAAAACAAGCCATTGCGACAATTAAAAATTAGAACCACCTACAATTCACTTACTTAATATCTGTTTGAATATCATCACACTCCTTTGAAAATTTCACACGAAACTCTCGAAGTTAGCTACTAACGAGCACTAAAAAAAACGTTCGAATGTTATTTACTGCCGCACAGAGAACGAGAGAAACGCAGACTGTCGTGGAATCCAACATTCTCGAAAGTAAGGCTAATGAAGAAAGAAACAAAAAAGAACTGCGAAATAATGGGTACAACCTGGTACGACCCGAAAAAGAGGGTGTAAACACTTACTGCCCAATGGCGAACGGAATCGTCGCTCGAGAGACATCAGTTCGAATTCTCTTGGACGATTGTTAACAGTTGTAGAGCTGTCTGTGTGGTCGCGGCGAGACTAATGTGTTGGAAAAGACAGAGCGGAAACGCGTTACGCACCCGAAAATTGGCTGAACGTGACGGCCAAGAGGGGATGAATGGACCCCAGGTACATCGAGCATATCTGGGTCAAGTGGCCGCTCGTAAATCGGTGGCTAAATGAAACGTTGAGAACCGACCTAATGCATCGTGCTGCGGCGAACAACCACTCTTTATCAGGTTGCGCCCTGGAACGCACTCCATTTCTGTTTCCCCCGCTGTCTCTGACCCCTTTGTTCTCTTCCCTGGCTACGGCCCCGTGGTTGTTTGTTCAATCACATCGTTCGACGTTTTTTATCTTCGATGAAAAATAGTTTTGTTCGTGATTTCATCCTCGCTATTGGTACTGAATATTAACGACGTAAAATGACTGTTGGGATTCTGATACGCTTGGAGGACGTCTGCGTCGTTAGAACGGTTGTCGGTGAAAATACTAATATCGCTTTGACTATATTATTTACAATGATTCATGTATTTCTTTTTATCGAAGTGTTACTTAATCGTGACACAGGAATGTTATACGATGATTGTTTAAACTTTGAGGAAAATCATCATTTGAAAAGGCTATTTACTAATATTTCAGTCCCTAAGTATAAGATTTTATTTAGCAGATATTTTCGAAATTATTTCGATGTAATATACTGTTACTAGAGTATTTTTATATTATGAATTTTTCCTTTCCTTTAAATTACTTTTATTATTGCGGTCTATAGACTTCCATTTACGCATAGAAAATTTGATAATGGTTTCTTTTAAAATTGAACATCGATATTTTAATGACAATAGGATACCTTGAAGTTTATAAACGAATTTGTTTGTTTCAATTCATATTTAACATGAAAATATAACTTTTCGTTTAATATTAAGTGACATATAATCATCAACATTTCTTTCCCTATTTCACAGTAAATTAAATTGTAGTTCGGTGTAATTAAATGATAGCCACGTATTAGACTTACATTGCACGCGAACAGATATGCGTTGACTGACACGGGGTGGAACATCGTTCGAAGCGATGCACAAGTAAGCTCCCATATGCAGTCGGCTGATCTTCACTACGTGTAGCACCTCACCGTTCACGACATTCACTGAAACAAAAATAAAAAGTCACGACGTTAGAGTTTTGCATGAACTTATACTTTTGAACAAAATACTTTTCCATACACCGAATTACTCCACACTGCCAGTGATCTTTTAAAACGCAACGGCACGACAAACAATATCCACGAAAGTAATGCAAACAATACCGAGCAGGTTATGAAATTTAACGGTTTAATACATAGATATCTATATCCAGCGACTCATTAATAACTGTCGTAGAAAGTAATTATTTATTCCATCATACAATGACCGGTTCCACACTTCCTGCGCGATACAACGGCATATAATTAAATTACGGTGAACGATTTATCATTCCGTGCAGTCGCACACAAACTTGCAAAACTTTCCGGGGCTTTCCGAGCAACTTTCGGCGTATTTTGGTGAACGGTGGTTGGTCATCGGTTTCGTAATAAATGACGGTGGTAGGGGTCGAAATGAGTCTCTACGTGGACAGAATCGAAACGCAGACACTTTCAGGGTCGTTCTACATCGATATTATCATGTAGCGAAGTAATGGCTTCAGGTAGTGATCGGACAGATACCGATACATATTGATGGTATTCGATCAATTCCATGTCCAAAGTCAAAGATTTGACGCTTTCACGGCCCGGCATCATACAGTTGTTGCTGTTGAGACCTACGGGTGTAAGCTGTGTCGTGGTGGAATTATTTTCCCAACGTTTCGCAAGCATTGCATCTAGCTTTATTGGTCAGCTGACCAATTAAAACTGTCTTTCGATTGGAGAGTTATTAACCGGAACATGAACAAGCTCCAGTATATCAGTGGAGCACCACAAGGCACACACCAGTATCAGTGTGTCATTCGATTCCCTGATGAAGCTAGCTGCAATGCTTGCGAAACGTTGGGAAAATAATTCCTCCAGGACACGGCTTACACTCGAAAGCCTCAACAACTATCCCAAAGTAATCAACGGGAAGTATCGAAAAGTGTCAAAATTTTAGGTACTTGGTATTAACTTTCGATGTCGATATCTCTTGATGCAAAGGTGACTAACGTGACGTGAGCTGAAAGTTTTGTGTCGGTCATCGGTTTCTGAGACGGACGTTTCTAGTAAACTAGAACGATGTGGCTACCAATTTGCTATAATAGAAGCATCTACAGTTTTCTTAAGAGTTAGCCAATAGAAAAGTGTCTCCCGTTTACACAGTTTTTCTCATTGTCGCATCCAGCCAGAATGGTCAGTCGAAATTCACGTAATACCTGTTACCTCAGTTGTTATTTTTTCCTTGTTCAATAAATCGTTATTTGTTCGTACCAACTATTTTCTTCTAGTGTTCTAACTACTCACAACAAAGTTCAGTCGGCGTGTGAGGTCACGAATCTGTAAGGCAATCGCGCTGAGTACTTTCTGACGGAACAGATCTTAGATTTCGGTAAAAAAAGACTGTAAAACAAAAAGGGAATACGAAAAACCAATGAAAACAATTTGAATTGGGGAAAGAAGAATAGAACCTAAAACACGATATCGTGGAATATAATAAAACCGGCTTACGGCGGTAAACAATATGGCCGCCGACTACTCAAATATACAACTCCACTTAGCGGTTTTGTGAAACGTAAAACCGGACGATTCCCGGTTACTCGCGCGTTCTCGGTAAGATAGCAATAATAAAATGTTGCTGCGTCCCTCGCATCTTTCCGATACCGAATTATTCTCTGTGTTCCTCGACTTCTTTCGCGGTACATCCAATGGAGACGCATCGTAATAAGTTTCGAGCGCAGCCTGAAATTAGACCCCCGGGTAAATGTCGAACAGCGATCGAAAACCGATTCGATCGTTTTTCACGATAAAGGTAAAAGCACATCGTATCGCGGGAACGTTGCTACAATTCTTCGACAGTAATGTCGGGGTAATGGGACGCCTGTCGGGTCTCAGAATTCTCTGAATCAAATAATACCGTGCGATGTATCGGACTGCCTGTTACGATCCACGTGGCTTAAAATGAAATACTTAACTTCGTTTTATACTCCTCACCCCTACCACCCCTTTGGGTTACTCTGCTTAGGTTAATTTTACGCGTTATTCGAATACACGACGTCTGCAGACTTGAATTATTTGATAACTTTCCTCGAACCTTCGGTATTAACCCCTTGCCTTACGATTTTTTTGACGAATATACGCTCAAAAATTATTTTACCGTTAATAATTTCCCAGATAGAAAAATAATTTTATTCTTAGGGCAAATGTAACATTTACTCTAAATCTTAAATATTAATACTAATGAAACAGAATTTCACTTCGACTCAAAGAATAAACTGTGTTCGATTCTTATGTTCAAAACCGATTATTATATTCTCCAAACATTCCTTATAACCAACATTTAATTTAAAGGGAAAAGTATCACGTTGAATTTAAAGTTTCGAAGCAATTTAAATTTAACATTATTATTACAATTACATTATCGTATATTTTGAGGTGACAAAGTACAATTTCGAAGACATTTCTACAATGATCGATGGTGAACCATTGCATTCATAAAGGAATAGAAGAATGAACGGTTTTTTAAAGTTATATGAAGAATGGGTTCTAATATTTCAAATAACGCTGAATGAATTTTCAACTTGTTCGATCAAATATGTTCCGTTCGCAGGAAACTTTTTTTTCAAGGCGAACGTTAATTTCCCAGAAAGAAAGTTCTTTAATTAGGGTGGTACCTGCATTGCGGTTCACGATACGTACAGGGTATCAAAAAATAATTTGCTACAGCCTTTTTACATATTTATAGTTAACTAGCATGTCCTCATACTTTTGTATTCTTACATTCATATTTTGTATCTTTACATTTCTATATTTATCGTGACATCGAATTTAAAAGAATTTCTGTGTAAATCGATAGGTCATTAAGCTACCTATGAGTAAGCATCGCTAACGAGTCGAGAACTTGCGAAGAAGGGATCGATCGGAAGTGATCGATACTTCTGGTATCAAAGGTAGTATCGGGGAAACACTACTTGAAATTATGTTATCCCCCCTTAACAAGATCCTCGTCTTTATCATTCCTTTTACCTATTTCACTGCTTAAAGGAATTATTTCTCTTTAGAATGAAGGTTCCAAGTTGACTTCACAACCATTAACACCAAAGCTAGAAGATAAACTTAAAAATTCTGTACGTTTACTACAAATCATTACAGTCTCTACGTTGACTGATTCATACATGAGTACACATCTTTGGTTTACTAGAAGGACACGAACAAAATTCTGAGAGAATAAAATTTGTCAGAAAATTGGTTTGAAATATTTCCTGGTAGAACATTATTAATCATTTCATAATTTATCTATGAAACATTTTCCTGTTTTACAATTTAGACAAGAGTCCGTAGGTTCTTAGAGTCTCTAGTAAAATATTGTTTAGGCTATCTTTAACTTTGATTACTTTTATATCCGATACTTCCATTACATTATTACAAGTGTCTTGCGTTGAAAGGCCACTCTACTATGACGGTCGAAAAACTGAAACTATATTTAGTAATTTTTTCCTCAGTAAATACAATATGTAATCAAATGTATCTTGTATAATATTAAAAAAGTCCAGAAATAATTCTAGTATATTTTGTTTTAATTTTTTTCTCAGCGTGACAGTGACATCTCAAAAGAAGGTTTCCTCGGTACCATAGTCACGTTTTTATTTTATTTTTCACCTAACAAAATCATTGAAAAAGTAGTGCTTTCCTTACATGTTTTCATTGCACCCGAGTCGTTTTATTATTTTGTTTTTTTTGGCCGCCAAAGTAGAAACATCCTTTAACACTTTGACTGCCACGTCACCCAAATATGGGTGACACGTACACTGAAAAGTGTCTGGATTATGTAAACACTGTTATAAAATGTTTGCATGAAATTAATATCACAGTATAATTTAAAACAAGACCTACAGCCTCTATTAACTAAACTCAAATATTTTCGACAATGTATGACTTAAAAAAACGAAATAAAGTATGTCTGGCTACGTACGGCCTTTTTCACTGTGGCAGTCAACGTGTTGAATTAAATTTTGTTTAATTTTTACATTAAATTTTATCTTATTTAGAGTTGACATTTTTAAAAGTATTGTGGTTCGCTACGGGATCGTGGAATTCTTATCGTTCGAAGTAACACGGCGTGGTACGAAGGTCACGCAAGGGAGAGCGGAAAGTTGTTGTCGCATTGCGCGCGGTAGGCCGTAAGAAGATGGGGCGTGAATCGCTGTTGGCTACGCCGCGGTGCCCGCCAAACCTATCCATTGTTCCGCGAAACAATGCCTAGACGGTGAGAGATTCCAGCGGCTGGTAGCACTTTCCCGTGGATTTTAATCAAGTAGTCCCGCAGGCCCTGTACCAGAACTGCCCCCTTAACGGTTTAGCGGGAACCTTTAAAACTTTTGAGCTTAATAGGAAACCACAATATGGCACCCGGCTCGATGAAATTTCCGCTGGTCGAATGTGGCCGTGGTTGCCTCGAATAAAGGGAGATAGGCCAATTACTCTAAATATTTCCTAACAATCCTTCACTCGTAACGCTTGCTCCGTACAAATTCGTCCATTTGCGTTGTATTAAATTTTTACGCTCTGATTTGTGTGTATGTGACAGTAAAAGCATTAATTCAGTAAATGTAGGTATACAACATTTCCTAGTCAATGTAAATTGTCAAAAAGTTCATTATTTTTCCAGCCGAATAAACAGTACGAGCTGTTAAATTCTGATTCTAGACAACACTGTTCGTCTCGAGGAATACGAGAGTCCATATGTACTATCAATGGAACAGTTGATTTCAATTGCCTGTCGCGAAACATGCACTGAAATTCTCATAATTTCCACGCGATGCCCGCGGCTACCAGACGATAACGCAGTGTCTTTCAAACCCCATTTACCCCGTTTAAACGTTAAGCGACCGCGATAAGGGTGCGCTGGTGAAAAGAACCGGCGGAATAAATTAGCGGCCATTCACGTCGATGCACGGCGCACACTTTGCATAACATTTTCCGCG